TCCTTCATTTCAGAAGTTTCTGATGCCTAATTTATTACGAAAAATCTCTCCTTGAACATATGAAGATTAAACAAAAAATAATAAAGCACTTTTATAGTATTAAGCGACGTTTATAAATGTGTTAGTATGTTTTTTAGTACAAAATTCTCAATGTTAGTCTCAAATATAAAATTAAATCGTTTATTCAAATCAATCAAAGGATCAAAATCTTAGTTAGGGTTGATTTGTCTTGTAAAATAAGTGCATTAGATAGTCAAAATTATTTGACCCCTATCTAAAAATTCGGCCATTTGTTTTAAAAATGAGTCCATTTATTAACGTTAATTAAGACTTTCGACATTTAGAGAAATGGTTTGAGGGGGTGATTCTTGAAGCTTATTTCCTGAAGATGGATGAAGAGATATTAATTGACATTGAGAAATGCGATCGTTTTATCAGCAACCATCGGAATCGCTACGACTGCTAAGACGCTACGACATTAAATTTAATTGCCAAAAGAAAGTAACCCAGTAAGTAAAGTAACCCAAGATAAACCAAATGGTAATTTATGTCCCAGCTCCTGGAGTCAAAAGTGCAAGAAAGCGGTTAATAAATTATAGTAATGTAATCAGAAAAAAATCCAATTTTCTTCCTGTCTGCCGGACTTCACGATGCTTGGGGTGGGCTTTGAACTTGAATCTCGTACCCCTTCCAAGAAAGGCTCGTGCCCGTTGGAATTTCTCTGAAGACGTGACACCAATTAAATTTCAATTCGGCCGGCCAGTAAATCAATCCAAATCAGATCCTGATCCACGGAGGGCGAACTGTGCGTGACAGAGCTTGCCCGACTACCTGTAATTGCCTCTTTCCACCGGATGAACATTTTTAAATAGAGATTATAGTAATATATCTGTCTTTAAATAGTGAGTTTTGTTGCACGGTATAATTTTGTAATAAATAAGACAGTTAATTAGAACATTAAGTAAATTGTGAGCGTAATTTGAAAATTCTTGAGGAAGTAAATCGGATTATCGCTAATTCTGTCAAACTTGCATTGTTATTACTTATACTTGTTTAAATAGTTTCAGGTCTTATAAGCCATAATCACCGTCATATATCACCGGATATCACTGTGACTAGACTTCTATGTTTGAGGTGATGTATATATATATATATATATATATATGGTTTATATCTATCCTGTAGTTGACAACTTGAGATACAAATTAGAAGCTAACATTTTAGGATTTTGCCTTAATTTTAATCTAAAAGCAGAAAGTCAGTAACATGCGTGAAAGACCAGAAAAAGATGTACAAACTCAGAGGTTCGGCGATGATCTCGGTGGTTTGTCGGCTCCTGAACTTCCCACATTTGTATTACTATCATGGGACATAAGTGACTATCAAATATGCCAGCATAAATTAACCACTGATTGGTGTCAAACAATGACAAATTAGAGATGGTGAATTTTTGAAACTGGCCTGGAACATCCAGCGAGATTTGGTGGACCAAGAACAAAAACCATTTTTTAAGTAAACGGTGTTCAATGTGAACGAATATGTTCGCACCATAAAAAAATGATCTATACAACTGTTTCGTTGTCAGATATGTCACGCCTTCGCCATCGATTTTAAATTATTACCATTAAACTTTTACTTCAGTCGTGCTCAGATGGGACGGCTATGAGTTGTGTTTCGTAACATTCCGGCTCAACTAACATTAAAAACACACATTTCTAATGTTTTAACGAGTACGAATTGCCAAGGCAATGGGACCTGGCCCGAATAATGTCCCGCTCACGTATCCCTTTTCGAAAATCGTTCGAAACAGGGCACGTTATCCAGTCGAGCGGAATCCTGTCAGATTAACGCTGGCTGAGAAAGTAGGATTGGTGGGCTTTGTCTACGTGTTTCACGAAGGGTCATGCAAAACATTCTCCTGAGGGGGAAAAGTAGAAAAATGGGCGGTCCAGGGCGTTACGCCCGCGCCGAGCCTTCCATGACTCGAAGCGTAATCGGCCCGACAAAGAAATCGTCAAGTCATAAACAAATGTTATGCAAATCGTGTTTTCATTCTGTTCAAACATGTAAAGGATCATTAATACAGGCACAGATCACGCGTGTCCTTTCACGCATTTATGATTATTTCATATCATGATCATTTCAGCAGTCGAACCTAAACAATATAAGAAGTTTCCGGGCCTACCTCCCAACAAAATGTTTGTATTTGTATGATTTAAAGTAGAATATAATAAACTCCGAACTTTTATGATTTAAACGACATTTTTATAAATCGCATAAGCGAGTCGTATACTGACTTTTGTTAACCTTTTAACGCATGAAGGCATGATATTAATCTTTATGTAAGGTATTGGTTGAAAAGAAAAAGTCAGTGTCAAGAGCGGGATTCGAACCCACGACCTTCGGCTAAATACGCCGCTGCTCCTGGTCGTGGGTTCGAATCCCGCTCTTGACACTGACTTTTTCATTACGACCAATACCTTACATAAAGATTAATTAAATGAAAGAAGTTAGTTGGTCAATCGGACCACGAAATATAACGGGTATGAAATTAAGTTACATTTGGTTTCGGTAGGTAGAAGAGGTAATTTGTTTGACCTGTTTAACCACAGATAATGAGATTACAAATATTGAAGAAGGTTGTAAGACTTTATACAATACATATAGGCATACGGACAGAACTCCCTTCATATCTGTGAGTGTGTCGTTTCAAAGTACACGTTAAAGCAATTATATCTAAACAAATAGATGTAGACAGATTGGTAAAAAATATGGACAAAAGGAAGAGGAAATTAAAGAGAGAAAAAGCTGTGAGGAATTTTGAAAGATAAAAATACAAATACACAAATTTAACAAAGGCAAACGTATTAAGTCACTGTAGTAAAACAGATATATGAGTAGGTAAGTAAATAACACTGATGTTAAAAATAAACAAGGAAACGGATGAAGAACGTGAAAAACAAGGAGAAGAGGAGAAATGCATTGATAAACGTACAGTAAATAGACAGAACCAATGAAAGTCACCAACAGAAATCTTATTTTCATGTATATAGTAAAATGCGCACCACAAGGGGTGATAGGGATAGGGATGAAAGAGGTAGTCACCAGGCCTTCTGCACTTCGACCTGTGTAGATCTATTGTGCTCCCACTTGTGTGGTTTTTTAACTCACTGGTCAACTTCAGATTGTTAATCAACCTCCATAGCATTGACAGCTGCTACTTAGTGTAAAATCTTACTTGTGGCTTTTCATGTCCTAGATGCAAGAAACTGCACTACATAGACATTCACCAAAACATAAAATGTGTTCTGCGGTCTCCTCCTTCTTCTGGCAATATCTGCACATGCATGTGCTTTCTTATGTGGCTGGCTGGCTGTCCAACCAGAATCCTGGTTTGGTTGCAGTTGCCTTCCAGTAAGTCGTTTGTAAGTTTTGCGGATGGCCCTTCAATGAATCACTTCACGTGACTCATCCGTGAGGTATTGTTGCACCAGGTTTTGGACTCATTAAGGATCCATGTTGAGATGTATCCTCTTTTTTGGCAAGATGCTAGGTCCAGTAGGTTTCAGAACCTAGAGAGTAGAAATGTGTAGAGATTAGTGACCGTTAATCGATAGTTATTCAGACATCGTGAGACCACCCGACCACATCTCACGATATCTGAATAACTAGAGAGTAGAGTTGGCTCTCGAATTCCCAGGGGCGCACCACAAAGCAAATTTGTATAAAAGATCATACAATTGTACAAAAAAGACAGTGGGATATCCTGGGTGGTGTGTAGCTTTCATGTCTACCACTTTGACGGTGTCGTTCATTCGCACCCGACTGTACTTATCAGGGATAAACCGTTTAACTATAAACTTTTACTCGCATGTTTTTAAGTCGAGCATTGGAACAAGGAGATGATAGGTTATGGTCAGCAGCTAGCTGTTCGACCACTTGGGGACCCATCCGACCATCACGATGTTTGGCCCGTTTCGTCTCGCTCAGATGAGACCTAACTGATACAACACACAGTCGTTTCAAACAGGGCGGAACAAATGCGACGAACAATTACAAAGAAACTTAACTTCCTTGCGTTTAAACATACGACGAATTGATTTTTCTATCAGATTCGTTTGTTCGAGAACTAAGACGAGGATTCTTAATTTAATATGTATTGAATTCCCAAGCTGGAATTTTGAAAGAAGACCTGAAATTCGGTTTTTGAAAACATGAACACTTTCATTTGGATTTGAGTTTGGCGGTTGTTGGCATTTTTAAACATGACATGTAACTTTAAATGGCCTGAAGAACTTTCAGTTTTGAAAACCATCATTTGATCCTTATTTATTTTCAGGAATGTATAAATAACGGAAATTAATATTTAGACATTTCACAATGAAATATAACTAAACGAGACCCTTCAGAATAGAGGTTGTTGTCAGGGAGAAGATTTGAAAGTTTTGACAATCTCGACATTTGAATAATAAGGTGCGCCATTTATGAATGGAAATGCAATTACATGGAAAAATGAAAAATCTGATGCTATGTTATAGTTTTTCCCTTTGAAATGTCAGAAGTCAAAAATGGTTAATGCACTAACGGACACGATGTCCTTAAAAAACGGCTGAAAAAAAACTTTTTTGGGGTTTAAACCGAGCTTTCGGTAAGTACCATCATGTACCATGGCTTCTTCCATTGTTGAATTTTCAAAAAGTTTAAATTTACTGTTGACAAGTTGAAAAAAAGTTTCTTAAGCGAGATGATGTCCTTTGTACTGAACCTCAACATTTCTGTAAATTTAAACTTTTGGGAAATTCACAATGGTTGAAGCACTTATGATGATGGTAATTGCCGAAAGTGTAGTTTAAATCTTACAAAGTGTGTTCAATAATTTTGTGATTTTAAAAAGATTCCGGAATCAATATTATTTATAACTTCGGGTCAGTATCAACCCCCAACGTAAATTAACCGAAATATCATAGTAAAAATCAACATATAATACCGGTGTTTCTTACCTTCTTGAGCAAGCGATTTCTGAAACAAAAAAAAACCAAATTTATAAGAATTATCACAATAAGTTAATCACAATACTTCTACAAATAGGATTCAAATTAAAATATTACACTTTTAGATAATAAGAATAATTTAAATTTATGACCAAGTTTTAAAAATCTTGGAAGGATTATGATTATGACATGCTTCACTAGTTTCTAGTCATTCTTCTTCCATTCGTGCCCAGAGGCATCCACTGAGAGTAGCTCTCAATGAAGAATTATCACAATGGCCTGGCACTTTCACCTTTTCTCTACAAATCGATTAGGTGTGGTCGTCTTAATTAGCTTGACGATCATTGTGACAAAAAGCGAGAGAGGACGGACCCTGAGCTCATCTTTTCGTATTTTTGTTATTATAAAGTAGATATTGTTATATGAAATTAGTATTCGGTTTTATTGAAAATGAGCGATAAACAGTTAAAGATCGGATCTATAAAAGAGGCAAACTCACCAACATTTTTATTCGTCATTCTCAAAATTTGAAATAAATGTGGTTATAAACTGAGTTTCAAGAAAATATTTTATGAACGCGTTCCAGATACAATTTTACTCGGTCGTCAACGCATGTCATTATTAGTAAATTTTCAATGCAGGCTTGGTAAAAAAAATGCTCGTAATAATCATCATTTTTCACTTATGGCCTAGTAATGAATAAATTGTGTTAATTTCCATTTTGCTTCGTTTAGTATCTTTTTTTCATGAACATTAAACATAACTACAGTAAAATATTACAGAAGAAATTGTTAGAAAGGGGCATATCAACAAATAAACCTTACATTGACAATTGATGGACAAAATTACTGTACCACACTTAAATTTTAATGAAAAAAAAAAACGAAAAAAAAACAGGTAAACGCTTTTGCATCCTTGGAAAAGATTTCTGATAAAATCCTTCAGGAATTCTTTCCCATTCATCAAAAATAGCTTCCAACCCTTCTGGGTCTGGGTTTCGCCATCGCTTAAGTTGGTCCCAAATGTGTTCGATTAGGTACAAATCTGGACTTCGACCTGACAACAACAATCAATTCCAACCTCATTCAGGTAATCATGCACACTACGTGCTCTATGGGGCCTGGCATTATCCAGCATTAGCAAGAATCTCTCACCGATGTCTTTAAGTATGTCTTATATGTACCTCTGTGAAGTTAGAGATCTTCCTCGCACAACAACCAATTCGGTGCGGGCGAAATCCCACCCAGGAACATCAATGACCCACCATGGAGTACCACCTGAGAAACTATATACCATGGGGAGTACCTTTCTACCGAGCGACTCTGAATGAAATTTTGCCCATCTGAAGATTTGAGGCCAACTCTCACCTCATTTGTAAAGAGTACTCGTCCCCTATCTTCCAATGTCCAATTGACATATTCTCGCGCGAATTGAAGCCCGCCCATTTTATGATCTGTGGTAAGAGGGGCTCCACGAATCGGCTGCCGGGCCCTGAGGTTAATCTCATAGAGCCTAATTACAGTTCTGGAAGAAAAACTTTGGATTTGTCTTATCAAATTTCTTATTTCATTTCCCGTAATGCTGCGGTTTTGTAGAACATGGTGACGGATGAATCTATCGTCTCTCTCGTCAGTAGACCTTGCTCGACCCTGTCCTGGCCTTCTAGTGTGAGGCCGTGTTTCTCTGAAGCACCGAAGAACCTCCCTATTGTAGAGTGATTTACAGTCATCAGTCTCCTGGCTACTTCGAGCTAGCTGTATCCTTCCTCTAATACATACTCCTGACAGTATCATACTCACTCAAAAGCCTGACTGGAACCATTGAAAAAGGTTTAAGAATAAGAATAATATTAAATGAAATCAACGAAGAAAAAAGATTAACTGAAAGCATTATGTACTGTTTATTTTGATTACGATAGCTCCTAATTACCTGTAGTTAATGTAGAAAGTTAATGGATTTAATTTATATTAATTTAACTAAATCATTGAGTAATGCGTTAAATTTGTCCATCAGGGTATAAGGAAACACAAGCTATCAACGGTTTTTACAAATTTCTAAAACTTTGAGCATACTGATTACTGCTGTTTTATACAGTATATGGTCTCATTAGATAAGTATCAGCTTTGTTCTTGATTTATTTCGCGCAACCTCTTATGTCCAATGCAAGACCTAAGACTAGACCAAACGAGGGCCTTTACTTTCTGAAGTGTTGTACTTAAACTCAACATTTACTTACAAGGACTTCAAGAAATTTTAGTTTCACATTCACTGAAAAATTTAATAAATTCCTAAGTCTTATTGTTCTTTGTATTGGATATGACATATTGTAAAGAAGGCGGGGAAAAGATCAATAGCATCAAACTGTAGATTGATTTATATATGTATATCATGTCAAAAGAACCAAGAAATTCAAGTTTTATTGTCAGAGAACACGGTAGTATTAACTTTCTTAATCTGACAAAAACACAAATCAATTCAACGTACAATGAAATCCCACGACACACAACGTAATATAATGACAGACCATATTCTCAGACACACTAGCAAAGATTAAACAGTAATATCTACATAAATGTAGAAACAACAAACATAAAATAACGACAATGGTTACAACATGATAGAATACGTGATGCCAGTTGTACATACTATTAACATAGAATGGCTTCTTCCTGAAAGTATTTTTTTCTCTCTCGAGACAAGGTTTTTTTAAATTTACGATTCTTAAAAGGTATTTTGCTTTCTCTGGAAGAATTATATCTTTGTTATTTTCACAGTAGGTTTTACTAATTTAATCAAACTATAAATGTATATATATATATATATATATATATATATATTTATTTATATATATATTTATATTCCGGGACCTCGCGATTTTTTATTTTAAAAATATTAGCTCTACAGTAGGAAAGCTGGGCGATCTTTCCTTTTTGATAGAGCTTCTGAGAATCTATTATCATTCCTAATTGAACCCATACGTGATGAAAGAAGGCTCTGCAACTCATATATATGCACACGTACCTACGTAGTAGCCTAACCTAAGTTTGGCCGGTCTCAAAATACTAGATATTTCGCTGAGGAACCGACATCATTCTCGCTAATAATGCATTCACCCTATACATGCGTATATAACAAAGGGAAAAATAGACCAGAAGTTATTTTAGAACATTTTTACAAGTAGAACCCACGATAGGCTGTTGGTAAGATCTTGGGACCTTATTCACAGAAGCCTGATTTATACACACACTTCATTAAACTCTTTACTATATTATGCATTGCTTGGACATTTTATCTGTGAACTGTAATTTTATATAACTGAAATAACTGGTTTTGTATGAAGTTTTGTAATGAATTTTTTACTTAGCAACATAAACCTTTTCACTGACTTGAGTATGGGATATTGCCCTATACCTAAGTAAGTATTTATTGATGGCTATTTTATTAAAATGTCTGCAATGTAATTGTAGATTAATGTTTTATAAACTTAGATCTCACTATAAGTCTATATGAGTAGCAAAGTTTAATTTTTTTGGCGGTTGATTTTAAGTTTATTGTATTTGTCAGGTGATCTCCGCATTTCATTATTATTTTTATTTTTATTTATTTCTATCAAGATTATTATTTTTGTTGTCTGTTTTAAGACAATCCCTCAGAGGATCTCAATGACTATGAGTGTGTCTAAGAAAAGAATGTATAATATTATTTGTACTTGTGTTTGTTAATAAAGAGTTTTATTATTATTATTATGGGATATTGTCTATATACGGTAGAACTGGTGTGTCTAGGATGATTCGATATTATTTATATTTTCAAAATGTATTGCAGCTGAGAAGATTAAATATTTGTTAGTTTCCTCTGAGACTACATTTTATCAATCAAGGTTGTATTACATAATCTTATAAATCAAGCCAAACTTTAGTTTATTTTGTAGTTTCCGATCATTCTGGTCATCAGTTTTCGATACGTTTCGCCATCTTCGGTGGTACGTTTAGGCAATCTACCCAGCGGTCCGTTCAGTCTTACTTTTTTCCAAACTTAGACCAAACTGCAGGTTTATCACCGCACAGACCACAACAGAATCTGAAAATTACCACTGAAGATGCCGAAACCCCCTTGGCGGACCAAAACAGGGAGTATAGGCAGACCAAAATGATCGGAAACGATAAAAATACAGGTTCATCACCTTGCACCACAAATAGAAATGTCATACTTTAGTTCATTATACTTGATTTCAAACAGCTCAACTTTTTATATTATCTAGGATTTTATTACTGCATCAAATTATATTACCGGTATATTTATCATTCTGCACCCTTGGGGTAAAAGTGGATAAATCAAATTTTAATAAAATAGATAAGTGTATATTTTTGTCTCTTTAGATCTGACAGACTGTGCATAATTGATAAAGCTGAACAGGAAAGCAGACAGGGGGAGAAGTAATAGGAAAAGGTTACTAGACGTATAATTTTTAGGTTTAAAGTTTAAAATCGTAATCCTGAAAAGTTGTATTTTAGGACTTATCCAGTTTTGCCCCAAGGATGTAGAATTAGTTCGCGATAATTATGAGCCCAATTTCCTTATTCCCAGTTTCCTCTTCTCCGTGGTAACTAGTAATGGAAGCGTTCAGCTGCTTAAATGTTATTTTATATCATACACTTCAAGTCTGCAAGACTTCTTCTTCAGGAGTGTATTTACTGAATAGTATGTCAAATATGATTTCTCTTAACGTTCTTCTTAACGTCTACGGTGTAAGGATTCTATTGTCTGGTAGACCAGATGGATCGGAAATCAACCAACTACAGGTTCATCCCCCTCCCCCAGGACCCAAGAAGAAATCCCACAATTTGATATAACTAGCCAGGGTAAGTTACTATTAGGTACATAAACTTCTGGACAACAACATAATGCCAAATCACAAACGACTTAACAAAAAACATACACCGAAAACGCAAACCAGAATAATTACAATAGATAAAACTGCAAAATTTTGCTGCACTATCCTAGAAAAGGAGATAATTTATACTCTTT